GCCCCATGCGGCAAAATGACGGATGAGGGCATTTTACAACTAGGGAAATATTTCAAAAACCTCACACGGGAAATCCCGGATGAGGTAGGGGTAATTCAGAAATTTTGGACAAAATATACCGAGGCGGAAAAATGCCGAGTGAGGTCCTTAATCTAGGGGCAAAGAGGGAGAAAGCAGACGATACCTTACTAAATCCGCACTCAACCGGAAGGCAGATGTCAAGTTCTTGCGAAAACCGGATGCTCGAAAGTCTTGAAAGAAGCAGCCGGTATCAGAGCTTCTTCTCAGGAAATTTTTGAAAATTTTTGAAAATAAAAAGTGCGGAGGAAAGAGGTAGCCACCCTACTTATAGAAAGAGGCAGAAGGCAAACAGTCACCTTCTGCACGAAAATTTGAAATTCAAAAAAAAAAAAAAAAAAAAAAAAAAAAAAAAAAAAAAAAGAGGGGGGAAGCAGACGAACCGTCACTTACCCCATGCACCCTACGTCTGTCACCGATGACACGTGAGTTTGCCACATCTCACCTGTGAGGGGAAGATGTTTAGGGTGAAAATACCCTAAGACACGTGGCCCAATAAAGGCTTAACACGTGTCAATCTTTCAACGGTCTGCAAAGGCGCAATCCCTTTGCGACACGTGTCCCTTATACCCTACTTGAGGTACAGTTCTCCCTTACTATAAATAGTAAGGGTAGACCTCATTTATGAAAAACACACATTAATTGCAACCACACAAAAAACAAACAAAGCCCAAACCTACTGAAACGCTCTCGAACCGAGAAGCTTTTATTGTTCTTATTCCACTTCGAAAAGATACTAACTTAATCTTCGGAGGCGGAACTCCCACCCCCATCCGGAGTCTCCGTTACTTGTGCAGGTACAGGCGTAAGAAGGAAGTCTGCTAGGAAATTGTAACTCTCCCGAAGGACATAAAATACCCCCAAACACCGTCCACCCTTAGCATCACCTGCAAAGTCAGCCGGAAAGGGGTTAGTCTTTCAATTACGCTACAACCGGCAAAAGAACAAAGTGACACAAAAGCACCCCAACCGGTCAATTACCTCAGCGAGCAGTGAGTTAATGCGGTCTATGTTGACCTGGTGTACACCTGGCACCGCCTCCTTCTCGGACCAGGTGAGGGTCCTTAGCATACTCTTGGCATAATTTTGGAGGTCAGGCCAATGAGAAAAGGCATCTGCATCAATAGATTTATTGGTTAAGTATTGAGCATAGGCGGCACCTACATTCTGCCGGTTGCTTGAAGAATCCCCTGATTGGGTAGCTTGGTACTTGACTCGCATAGGCCCAAGCGGCCAGGGGGATCAAAGGTGAGAGTCGTACCTTGATTTTCAAGCCGAGGGGTCATCCCACCCCCAGCCGCATTGGAGCCGGACGCTACAGCAAGCACCCGGCTTGTGGGAATTTCGGGCTCCCTCGTTTCAACCTCAGCCGGCCCTGTGCTTAGGCCAAGGTCTTTTAGGCTTTATCCTGCAGAGGTGGGCCTCTCGGGACTAGGCGCCCTTCCAGTAGAGGCAGAGGCAGCCGGCCGTAACCCTTCTGGATTTAGAAGCAGGCTGGGAGGGCTCCTCTCCCGGTCTCTTCAACATCTTTGTTAAAGAACAAGGAACATTCTTGCTCCCCGTCAGAAAAAGAAAACAAAACAGCCGGTTAATATCATAATTAACTTCAAACCATACAAACGGTAAAAGAGCTCAGCCGGCGCTTACCCCATCATCTTTGGCCGCCAGTTGGGCCCTCTTCTTCTCTAACTGATCCTTCCGGATCTGTGCAACAGATTTAGCAGGCGTCTTTTCAGGAGGCACCATCTCTAATCCTTTCTCTACAAAGAAAATCAAAAAATGAAATGCCATTCAAGAATGATACAAACGGCATAAAGTGCCAGTTGACAATCAACATACGTCTGCTAAACATTGTGCTAAGGCCACAGGCGGAAAGGAACGCCTCGTCATTTAGCCAGTCCGGATGAGGGACCCAGTTCTTGGGGACAATGACTTAAGTCCCGTCATCCAAAGGCAGGGAAGTCTTCTTGAAGATCCCCGTCTCCATTATTTGAGTCCAAGCCTCTTCCGATACTCTAGGACTGGCGCATTTCTTTCCAAGGAGAGCCGAGTGTGTATTGTAGCAACGCAGTCGGTGGTTTTGACGCAGCGATGGGGAAGAAACCATGTAAAACTTGCTCTTCCAGCTGCTCCATTTTGACGGCTTGTCAAGCGTCATCATGTATTTCGGATGCGTGGTCAATGTATACCATGCATTCCAGCCACCTGAGGCACGGCTGAGGTAGTGCATATGTGCTAACGCCTCCCAGCTAGGCGTTATGTCCAGCATCTCGCAGGCGGCTATATATCCTAGTATATTCACCCAAGAGTTGGGTGTTAACTGCCAAACGCCAAGGTCGTAACCCCTTAGAATGGCTTTGAACGCCACCTCATAGCAGCCGAAATAATCATCGGCATCCCAAACGACGGTTACCTCTACAGGCGGTACAACAATCACCCATCCTACCCCAACCGGGCGCTTTTGTAAAAATCCGGGTAAGGTGGCATTTAGAGTGACCACATCCCTGGCGGTCATGTGCGCCTCTGTTGGATTGTTAATAGAGGGCCATTTATATGCATCCTCATCCTCTTGGGGGGCATCCGGTTCCATAGTAGACTCTGTAGAGTTTGATTGCTGGACAGTCTCTTCGTCGCCTGTATCCTCAGAATCGTCCAAGATATCATCTCCAGGCGTGCTAGGTACGCCCGGCTAGTCATAAAGTACAAAGTCAGCCGGAGCTTCGGCTGAGCCGTCTGACTAGTATTCGGGGTCTACAGCCGTCCGTCTCGTCCAAGCCATTCTGTCCTGCACATGAACAGAGACGGTCGGATTCGCAGAAGAGTAAGGGTGGTCCAAACACCCCCAGACGACATCCTCAGTCCTAGACTCAGCCGTATCCGGTGACTGGCTGACAACTGTCCTAGGTCGTGCCGTGTGTGTGTTGGGTGAATCCATTAATCTTTACAAGCTATACAACCGGAAAAACTCAAAAAAGTTGCAAGGGGTAGAGACGGTACCTTGAAGATGCTTTGAGTGAGGAGAAAGTAGGCTATCCAGATCAGCAGCCGGAAATCTTTTTGTTGCTTGCTAGATACCCAGACGGTAGCTCGGATGTACCCTCTTCAAGAGCAGCTGAAAATTGTTGAGCAACCCAACCGTTTCTTCGAAATCTTGCTTGATGATACCCCAGACGGTAGACCGGTTATGGGTGTATTGAAAGCAAATAGAACCAGTCCAAAGACCCTCAGACGGTTGGCCGGCTGTGGGTGGATTGAAGGATAGGGGTGACAAAAGACCCTCAGGCGGTTTTAGCAAGTTCTAAACAAAGAGCACTCAGACGGTGACCAGATGAGTGAGGAAAAGGAAGACGGTTGTGTAAGAAATAGCAGCCGGTATTAGAGCTTTCTTTCTTTCTCTTAGGGAAATTTCTCAAAAATTTGCAAAGTGTGAAAATGAGAGGAGGGGGGTCTCTACTTATAGGGAACCCCAGAAGGCGAACCGTCACCTTCCCAATTTGAATTCAAAATTCAAATTCAAAAAAAAGGGGTGGGGGAGACGAAACGTCACCTTCTCAGAGCATGACACCTGTCACAGGTGCCACGTGGCAAGCCACGTCACACCTGTGAGGGGCAAATGTTTAGGGTAAAAATACCACGTCCACGTGGCCTAATCACGTGCTGACACGTGTCAGCATCAGAGGGGTTATGAGAGAACCAATCCTCTGGCGACACGTGGCACTCTAGCATATGAAAGGGGGGGTTGATCCCCTCTCACTATAAATAGAGAAAAATCCTCATTTATTACAGATTCATAAATATACACACAAAACCCGAGCAATATTAATTGCAAAATTCTCTCGGAATCCGAGAGAAAAACCTTTACATTCCGCACTTTAATACATCCGAAAACGTTCTAACTTGATCGTCGGAGGCGGAACTCCACCCAACTAGATTTTCCGTGGTTTTGCAGGTACAGACGGTCGACGCGCATTCTTGGAATTGTAACTCTCCCGAGGGACTCCAAAAACCCCTAAACACTATATATATGCACAAATCTTTTGAAGAGATGTGGTTAAATGACTGATGATTTTTTTAGAGATGTGGTTAAATTACTATGATGATTTTTTGATATCCTTCTGATTTGGGTAAAAATACCTATGTTACGTGGCCCAATCAGAATGGGACACGTGTCACCTCATGACAGGTCCAATAAGGGCCATTCACCAGTTGACACGTGGCACTCGAAGTCAACAAGGGAAAACGACGGCCTTCAAGACCTAATACCCGAGACAGCTCATCATTCCTAGGTTTCCGTAACCTAGGATAGGGACACGAATCTCAAGACCCTATAAAAGGGAGATGTTCCCACCTAGGGAACACAAATTCACAGATTCGGATATTCATTAAACACGGAAAAAACCAGAGCAGTCAGTGATTGCAGATAATTAATTCTCACCTCAGAGAATAATATTTCCAATCTCGGAATCTGAGAAAGGTACTACTTTACCTTCCGCACTTTTTACATCTTCCGAACACGTTCTAACTTGATCGTCAAAGGCGGAACTCCACCCAACCAGAGTCTCCGTTGTTTTGCAGGTATAGGCGCCCGGAATCCAGTCTTGGTGTTGTAACTCTCCCAAGGGATGCAGAAAACCCCAAAACATCCACTAGCCACTACCCACCAAAATAATATCCATACCCTCTTCGACTTGGGTGAGTACGATGTGAATTACGTAATAATGTACCTACGTGCTATCTACCCATCGTTTTGGATCTAGACTTATCTTACTCTAATAGCTTTATTTTAGGCTTTTGTTATTCTAGAGATTTTCAAAACTCTATTACATTCATCCGCTTCCTAGTTTCTAGCAAATAAGCCATTTATTTGTACTATTGTTCACTCCATAATGCATTTGATAATGTTGTAGGATTGCAATGGAGAAGTTCTTGAGTGCATGTAACGTCTATCATGGCCTTAAGGTTTTCACAACCAATAAAAAAAATACAATATTCAAATGGTGGGAAACGAACAAAGGGAAAGAAAAGAAAAGAAAAGAAAAAGATAAAGGAAAAAAGATCATTTAATTAATATACAAATTATTTAATTATATACTACACACATTCATAAATAGGGAGGAATAATTATATTAAGGGATATTTGATTAGTAAATGGATGGAATATACAAATTTAATGGAAGGATTTTTGATGTAACAATAGTTACTTGTTATTGTAGATTACTCATCCTTTGCTTAAACCAAGAGGATTGGCATGCAAGTCATACAAAAACTAACTTTCTATTCTTCTTCACCATTTTATTCCTTTCACATGACCTATAAATAGCCAATTCTGCCTTAACACCAAACTCAAATTTCTTCTTCCATTAATTTCACCCATTTCATCACAAACCAGGCCTAATAATCAACCATGCCTTTGATGAACAGGCCTCGGGTTGTGATCGATGGAGTTAGAAGAACACGAACCTATCGTTTCTTCTGGTGTAGTCACTGTGATCGAACAGTTAGGATTGCATCAGCTTCTCCCAACCCTCTACACAATTTCTTATGCCCCCTTTGCTACAACCTTGTATGCCAAGAAATTGACATTTCAAGGACTTCTAATCTATCATCATATAGAACAGGTTCCTCTGCCACTTCTGCATCAGCTGCTCAGTTATTAGACACAATGGCTCAAATCATTAATCTATCTTCTCCACGTCGCCTGACTCTGAGGCCGCAATTTACCACCCATATGTCCTCTTCGCAGCCATTACCAAGGCCTGTATCACCACAAGAGAATGCACTATCATGGGTAGCGGAACAAGAGCCGCCTGGTCAGACACCCCAAAATCAAACTACAGAGAACAATAATAGTTCATGTATTACAGAAGTCAGAGCAACAGCTGATGCATTGTGCAGTGACTCAGCATGTCCAATTTGCAAGGAAGACTTTATTATGAACCAAGAAATAAGAAAGTTGGCCTGTAATCATTTCTACCATTCCGATTGTATTATGTCTTGGCTTCAAATTAACAATACTTGCCCTGTATGTCGTTACCAGCTCCCATTACAGCGAGGCTCGACTAATAATAACAGCGTCAGAAATAATTTTCGAGCTGCAGATTATGGCCATAATGTTGATGATAGTGATGATGATTATGATCTTCATTTAGAGGATGTTGTGAGCTTGAGCTGGCCTAGTTGGGCTGAGTTGATCTCCTTGTTACGACCCTTTTGCTTAAGTTCGTTGCTCGATTGGTCCTAGCCAGTCTAGTTCTGATTACTACTCCCTGAAGAACACTGCTCCCTGATAATTAGGCCTGGTAAATTAGCTCTGTAAGTTTTACTGTAATTCTAATCTGATTGTTATTCAGTATATACTATGTAACCTTTAGTCTCATGTCTACTTACCTGATGAATTTTCAGAACATCAACTTTAAAGGTAAGTTTTTGACATAATGTAAATTTGTTATTAGAAACCTATCATTTTATATGTACTTTTGTAAGTATCATAAAGTATTCTTCATCATAGAAATACTAATATAGTTTATAGCATTGCATCATGTATCATAACATTGCATTCGAGTATATGTTGATCACTCGGAAGCTATCTTTGGACATGTTTTTATGACAGGAAGGGGAGAAGTCGAAAGGGAACCATCTGCTGCGCAATTTGGTTGGCAATCCAGTGATTTGCAGCTACAACAAAATGTATGCTATCCAGCAAACTTATCTTCCAGGATTACCGTATGTCTTTACCAGAGCATCCTAGAGGAGCTGTAAACAAAATTACCCTTTAAGAGATGTGAACTAAACAAATAAAAAGGTTGTGCAAATGTATATATACTTGTTCAGAAAATGATTCTTCTGGCTCTAAAAATCACCTTTGACTTGGGTTTATCCTCACTTGTAAACAAAAAATAAAGCCACATTTCATACTTCTAACTAATGTTGGACATGATTGCGTACTACAAATTTGAAAAATCACACAAATTGGCAATAAAAGTGCTATTAATAGAAAGAAACCAAAACCTACAGTTATCTAAGTAGCCTCTTTTTGCATCCCATTCATTTTTTTAAGGTGAATTAAACAATAGTCATGCGAGAATCAAGTTACGGCCATCACCAAGGTGTCAAAAAACTTTCCAATTTGATTATGTTCCTACAATTAGCAAAGAATGCGTGTACAAGTTTTTTTGAAATAATTGTGTACAACAGCACAAGTTTCGGTGATATTGTTATTAAATGGTAAGGGGGATCATTATGCGTAAGCATCGATTGTTTATCAAGCCATTGTGAAATCCCGGGGCTTTGGTAGATTCACTTCTCCCACCAGTTTTTGACATATGAACTCTTTGTTTTGAATTTTTGATTTTTATGTCTTCGTATCCAACCAGTTGCTACTCCTGAACCCAAGATATGCATCCATATATGGAAAATCAGATTTCTAAGCTGCACCTCTAGTTAGAATAAATCAGCATATCCCATTAATTTGGAGAATTATACTAATATTCAAGGAGCATATATCTAAATGATATTTTGTTGCATATTGTTTTTGCAATTAAAAAGCTTTTAAAGAAATTTAATTACTTGTCACCGAAAAATTATAAATAAACAAACAAAAGCTGATAAAATTTCCATGAGATTGAAGTAAATCTATTCTCCTTGCAAGTTGAAAGTCGCACAATACATGTTACTTGACCTGACAGCATCAGGCTCATGAGTCCCAGAGCTAATAGCCGGCTAAACATGTACCCTTTTAAGTATGCAGAACAGCTATATCACTAAGAGAGCAAAGAAGGATCAAAAGCATTACAAAGAAATGGCTATTTCTTCACAATCCTAGTGATTAAACCTGGAATGAACATACACGGTCATTCTCTCATTCAAGCTTTAAGAGCAGCTTTGTGAACCATCGTCTCCTTGTGTATTTGATGGCAACTCTTCTCAACAAGGTCAAGCAGCTTCTCCAAGTTCATTGACCATGAATTGAGAATATCATTGCTGTCCTTAACTACCTGAAAACATACGACCCCCATTGGCCTGTCTACCTTTGCCACCAAAGCCTTAGAAACAACCATATCAGATAGATGCTTTTCTGTTTCCTGAGACATGTACAAGTCAGATCAGAGTAAGAAAAGATGACATATACAAAATCAAGTCCAAGTTATCTTGTTCAATTAACCTAAGTGAGTCCACATCAAGCACAATGAAATTACCAACAGCCAAATTTAAAATTCAACATAAGCCTAGAGCACATATATATTCCCTGTTTCATTTAAAGAATACATGCAACATGCATACCCAACATAATTGCCATCAGAATTACTCCCTCCGTCCCTTTATTAGAAGCCTATTTCTAATATTTATTACTCACATAATAAAGAGAAATAGGCTTCTAATCTAAGGACGGAGGGAGTATTGAGAATTGCTGATTCAAACATCAATTTTAACAAGGATTTTTAGAAGAAACACCCATAAAGTTGTCTAATGTGTCTACATAGAGTTCAAGACAGAAACTATAGAGGATGTGCAAGTGTTCAAGCTCATAATGGTAGCAAACCTTGATACTAAGGCATAATAAGTCTGCCAGTCTCTTCAAGGTGATCCTCGAGTAGTACTTTGAAATAACAAGTATGTTCTGCAAGGAGAGCAAAGAATCAAAATATGATTATCAACCTTATTTTCTGAGGATTGTAGATAATATAGATCGATAGTAGAAAAGCTTACATGTTCAATGACCCTTTGTTTAAGATCTTCAGCAGCTTTGTCGCCTAAAGAGCCTCCAAGCAAATTCTTCTCATTCTCAAATTCGCCCTCAAATTCATTCCAAAGACTGGTCCAAAGGACAACCTCCATTGTCACGAGCTGTTTCAATAGTGACCTGCAGCAGCACATCAAAAGAACCCAAACCACAACGTGACATACATATTCAGAAGTATAACTGATATAGAATGAAAACTATTTGAGCAGTAAATGACATACTTGAACTTGGGGATTTCAAATAGGTTCTTATCCTCCAGAGTAGAGTTTAGAAGGCTTGACTGCATTGGATCATGTGGGGCAAGAGCCAGGTACCAGCAAATTTTCCTCAAAATCTGCACAAAATACCATATTAATAAACTTTGAGATGCACAAGAAAGTGCAGCATGATAATAGTGAAGCATTGTTTACCGGAGTCCACTGCTCAGGGTCTTCCTTAACAGATGGGATGTCATAGATAGCCTTGTAGCATCGACATATTTCAAGGTAGTCATTGTGGTGCTTGTAGTACCTGAACAAAAGAAACTCAATGAGGCCCCAGAATATCAAATTCCGATTAAAAAATGTCAAAACAACAATAAGAATAACAAAATCATTTTAATAGCATTGATGGATTTTCTATGGTGACCAAACAAAAAGCAACCATGTCCAGAGTAGTCTAGACGAGAGAGATTTCAAAATCCTTAAAAGCAACACCAGGAAAGTTTTGAGATTCAACCAAAAAAAAACGGGTTACTAGTAGAGTATGGCAACCTTAAATTTAACATAACAATAGCCAATCTATTTTAAGGGTATTTCGGTACAAACCATTACAGTATAGGATATTCATCTAAGCTATATTTGAATAATTAAGGTTCTCTTCCTATGACAAGAGGGTGATAGTTGAGTAATGATGGATTGATAAGATTCATCAATTGTCCTCCCTGGTCAGCTTTCCTTAAAAGGACAGGGGGTTATATGCCAAGGGCTAGTAATTTTAGATATTTCAGATGTATGAACTCAGAAATATAATTACGGGTTGTTATCAATTTCACTTGTATTGAAGGAAAACTCTTCCTTACCTCCCACCTAGAAATTAATTGTTCTTTCCACCATTCCCCCTCCATCCTCCCAACACACCAATTTCCACCCTTCCCGACATCAATGCTTCTTCTCAATCCAGCATCTCACTTTTCCCCAAGTAGCATTCCCCCAAAGCAATTTCAATAATTTTCAAAACTGTTGACACCAAAAGTGCTGTCACCAGCAACAAGATTCTAGGGAGGTTCTAGTCACCACGGAACCTTACCTCCAAAGGATGTAACAACTTCTCTAATCGCTCTATTTTGCAATCTGAGCTTTTAATTCCTTAAGAAGTCTTGGGGCGTTAGAAAGTTGGAGATGGTGCATGTGATTCTAGATTGCAGAAAGGATGACGGTTGAGGAGATGTAGAGGAAAACTGACAGTAGAGAGACAAAAAGAGGCAACTGGATGTGGAATTGGGTGGTAAAGTTACAACACTAATGTGATGGAGTGATGAGAAAATGAGAGCTGGGGCTAAAAGGAATAAAAAAGGAATCTATGGCTGTCCACTAAGCTTACGGAAAAATAGAATTTTCCCTGAATAATTAGCCTAGAAAGTCACCCCATAAAAATTTTACTCCTTAAGTTATACTATGGCTCCAATTATGCCATTAGTATATTCTCTCTACCACCTTAATCTCTCTAAGAGTGTAAAAGAATTCCCAAATATCGACGAAAGAAATAACAGAACGCACAGAAATTTTCCAAGCACAAGATTTCAAGAAGAAAGTACATTGATTTGACTATTTGCAACCAAAAAAAAATAGTCATGGTGCCAGGCAAAATCTAGTAATTGAGAATGAAACTATTTTTTTACATTCAATCCCCAGGAAAAAAAAAAAAACAAAGAAAATTCAAAACCCACATATATCCTAGGAAGAACAGAGCTAAAGAAGTACTCCATAAAAGAGAATCTTGAACTCACCGAATCATCAATTCGTAATAAATACGCTTCAATTCTGGCAACGTTGGAATATTAGCAGGGGCTTCTTCTACAATGGCATCACCTTCCTTAGGTTTCTTCTTTTCTTTTGAAGGATCAATATCAAAAACCCTAGGACTGATTTTCCTGGATAGGATTTGAGCCCGAACATAGTCTTTACGGTCTAAACAAAGGCGAACCTGAAAAACAGAATAATTTTCCAAATTTTAACTCATCATCAACATTTAAACCTTAACTTTAAATGGCGCAAGGCGCACCAAAGCACAAAAATTCCTAGGAGCCTAGGCGCAAGGCGAAGGCGCGCGCCTTTTGTAGGTGAGGCACACTTATTCATATAGTTAAGAAATAATAATTTCTATTAAATAAGTGTAAAAATGAAATTATGAGAAAAGGTAAAAGGGCCATATGATCAATAACAAGGGTTCTTCAAATCAAATTATAGGATATGGGATTTCTCTCTCCACAAGAATTGAAGAAAACCTGCCCATAACAAAGTCTCATGGTATACTTTAGGAAAAACAAACTTACACAATAGCTATTGATGCTTTAAAACATAAAGCGCAAAATAAGGAGCAAAGGCGCAAGAAGCAGCCTAGAAAAAAGCACAAAGGCGCGCGCCTTTTGTAGGTCTTTGAGCCTCAAAGAGCTAAGGCGCCAAATCTTGAGCCTCACTGTGCCTTGTGCCTAGGCGCGCTTTTTAAAACTAGATTTAAACACAACTAAAATAATAAATTTGAAACATTTATCCCCAATTACTGCCAGGAGAAGAGATAATGGAACCAACAAAACTCGAAAAATGGAACTTACTTGCTCAAGAATAAAAGCAATCTTTTCAGTTTTTGCCATTGCACCAAAGGTTTCAACCTGCAGTATCGCAAATATGTGTAATGATGATCAATTACACAGCTTCTACCAAAAAAAATACAGTAGTCCTGAAACAATTTTATGAAATACACAAGGAATCATACACGTAAGAAACTACACTTACTGCTATCTCTTGCATCAATTCAGCAGCTTCAT